GTGAGTGGAGCGGGGCCAGTCCTGGGCCAGTTCCGGGGGAGAACAGAGGGAGGCAGGGAAGCCGGAGACTCCGGCCAAGGACTGCGGGGCAGAGGGAGGGAGATTCCGAAGGGCAAGGAATGGGGCCGGGAAGAGGGGGACTCCCAGAGAACGCAGTACCCAGAGGGGAGAAGCTGAGCTAGGGGCAGGGGTTGGCTGGTCCGTGGGACTGAGATGGAGTGGACAGAGTCCTCCCCAAAGAAAGCGAGGCGTACCAAGTGAGGTCGAGGGACGAGGAGGGCTGCCCCCACCCCCCATTGGCCCCACTCCACCCCAGTCTCCCTCTTTATACTATCTCCCCTAGCCCCTGCCCTTTGAGGACATCTCTCTCTCCCCGTGTATCTCTCGCAGGGCATCTCTGTGTCCCGGAACCTGCCTTTCTGTGGCCTTTTCTCTCTGTCACCTACCCTCGTCCCTCGTCCATCTTTCTCTTGACACCCCCACACACACCCCACACCCCCTGCACCTTCATGCCACATGCCCAAACGGTCTTCAAGTCTCAGGCTCTAAGCCAGGGCCGCTGGGGCAGGGGTGGGCCCTGCCAGGCAGGCCAAGGCGTGGGAGGCTGTCACATCCCAGCCAGCTTCCCAACTGGGCATAAAGGACCCTGGTCCCCAGAGGAGGCCCCCATTCCCCCCACCCCCAAAGCCGCTTCCATCCTCCTCCACCCCTCTGAAGTCACCCCTCTGAGGTCACGGTACAACTATGTGGGTCTGAAGGCTGGGTAGCTTCCCCCCCCCACTGAGTGGGGGGGCAGCTGTTGGGGATTGAGGATGGGATGGGACCCCGAAACCAACTCTTCCCGGACCCTCCGCAGGCGCACAGGTGGAGGTGGGCCCCTTTGTGGGGAGCCCCGCGAACGTCACCAGGGCCAGGGGGCACTCAGGAACTCTTCGGTGTGAGCTTCAAGTCCAGGAGGAACCCCCTGAGGTGACCTGGCTCCGGGATGGGCAGGTCCTCGAGCTGGCAGACAGCACCCAGATCCAAGTGCCCCTGGGGGATGACGACGGGCAAAATGACTGGAAGGTGGTCAGCAAACTCAGGTGACAGTCTCCTGCCCCCACGGCCCCATCGAACTCTCATCCTTCCTCAGCCCATCCGCCTACCGCATAGCCAGACCCCAAATAAAATGAAACTCCCCCCGCCCCTCCCCCATGGAGTTGAGGCTAACTCATAGCCACCCTATAGGAAGGAGCAGAACTGCCCCCTGATATGTCCCAGGGAGACTCTCCAGCTTTGACCCCTGGGTGGTGATGTCACCCTCCAGTTCACTTTCCCCTTCTGTGAAATGGGGCCGTAATAACCCAAACTGCTCTCCTGTGTTCTGCTCTTCCGGGTACCCAGTGTCCGCCTCTGATCCCAGCCCCCTCTGTCCTGGCAGAATCGAATCACTGCAGCTCTCAGACGCCGGGTGGTACCAGTGTGCGGTGGTCCTGGGTGGCCAGACCTTCCTGTCCCAGCCTGGCTATGTGGAGCTGGAGGGTGAGCCCCCCTCCCCACCCCACCCCTCACCCCGGATCCAAGGACCTGGGAGTTGCCGGGAGAGGTGGAGAAATCCTGAGGGGCTCGAGGGTGGCTGGAGGACTCAGGGAGACATACCTCCTGGGGATGTCAGAGGTCTTAGGGGGTCAAGTAGCTGGGGTTCTGGGGTTCTATAGATGATAGGGGCAGGCCTTGGGGTATTAGATCTCAGGGGGGAGAAGACAGCCAGGCGTGCTTGGATTTAGGGGGTCACACAGGGATCAGATTAGGGGTCAGAGGCATGCACACTAGACGCCCTGTGCCATACCCCACCCCCAACACACACATACATATATACTTTGTCACCAGTGGAATGGGAGGAGGAGCCAGCCTCTCTGAAGATGAGACTTGAGGGGTTCCGATATCCTGGAGGTCAGATACTGAGGCGTCAGATACCAGGATCATGTGTCCTTTGGAGGGGTCAGACTCGGAGGTGTCCTGGGGGCTTGGATCTGAGACAACAAAGACCCTAAGGGTGACCCCCAAGTTGGGCCAGGAGAAAATGTAGCCTCCAGCATCCTGGTTGGTCAGATACCGGGCACTGCAAGGGTCCACCAAGACCCCAGGCTCTACCTCTGCCCCAGGCCTGCCCTACTTCCTGGAGGAGCCTGAGGACAGGATGGTGGCCGCCAACCTCCCCTTCAACCTCAGCTGCCGGGCTCAGGGGCCCCCAGAGCCTGTGGACCTGCTCTGGCTCCGGGATGCTGCCCCCCTGCCTCCAGCCTCCAGCCAGGGCCCCCAGCACATCCTGCAAGTCCCAGGTGAGTCAGCGCTACTGAGGGTCAGCTCTGCCTGAGGCCAGGGCAGCAAGGGCCAGGAGGCACTTGGAACCCTGCTGCCTGGGGCCACAGTGTCTGCCATCTCTCTCCTGATGTCTCTCTGTTTGTGTCTCTAGCCCTGTGTCTCTGTCCCCATCTGTGTCCATGTCTCTGACCCTATGCCTTTCAGTCTCTCTGCTCCCCGACCTCTTTCCGTCTCTCTGTCTCTCCCCATCTCTGTCTCTCTCATTTGCTCTGTGGCTATCTTTCCCCATTTCTCACCTCGTCTGTCTCTCCCTACCTCTCTTTAGCTCTGCCTTCCTCACTGCCTCTCGCTCTCTTCCCCCATCTCTCCTTCCGTCCCAGTCTGTCTCTCTCTCCATCTCTTCACCTTTCCACCGTCTGTCTCTCCCCATCTCTTTCTGTCTGTCTGTTCCTTCTCTCTCCAGTCACCCAGGCCTCTCTCTGAATGGCATTCTTTGTCCTGAAAGTCCTCCAAATTGCTCCATGGCCTAAGTGTGTGTGGGCCTGGTGACTCTCTATCAACCTTCGACCCCGAACTGGGCACCGGAACCAACGGTGTCCTCTTCTTCCCCACTCGACCTGTCCATCTTGGGAGGGGGGGCTTGGTCAAGGGGAGGACGGCCAGCCCAGCCCCCACCCCCCAACCCACCCCCCACCCCAGGCTTCTGAGACAGCCTAAAGCCCAGAGGGCTCAAAGCAGGAACCAGGGAGTGGGTTACAAGAAGAGATAGCCGGTGGGGGGACGAGGGATGGTGCGCAGAGGTGGGCTCGATGGGGGAAGAAGACAGGGCAGCTGGGGAGAAGGGAGGGGGATCCTCCGCACCCCAAAGGGGGCAGCCCCTGGCTGTGGCTCACACAGGCTGCCCCTCAGACAGGGAGCAGAGGCAGGGAGTCCCATGGGGCCCACTTCCTGCTGGGAGGGGAGGGGACTGGGGCTGCATAGAGGGGCCCACATTCCCAGCATTCCGGGGGCCCTGAGTGGGCAAGTTTGTCAGCCCCTACAGGGGTGACTCAGGCCCATGGCTCGAGTGGCCGGGGTAGGGATGGGGCTGGGACCTGAGTCAGCCTGGCAACACATCCCCCCATGCCCATAAGGGGGGGGGCAGTGACAGGGGGCAGTCCCTCCCACCTCCCATCCCAGGGAAGGAAATGAGGGTACAGGTGGGACAGCTTGTGTCTCAGAGTGGGCGGTGCTGGCCGGGAGGTGTGCGCAGGTCCCTGTGGGCCTGTGTCAGCCTGTTCATCAGTATCACTCTCTGTGTGAGGCTGGCCCGTCCTAAGGGTCCTAGGGGCCGCCAGCCAGCATCTGGAAGGCTGTGCTTGTGTAATCCACGGCGTGTGTTTTCCTGCTCTGCATACGTCACGCTCTGCACCAGGCTCAGTCAGCCTGTGTGTGCCCCTCTTGGGGCGGGGGTGTGCGTGTGTGTTCTCGCTGTGACTCACTGTGTGAGGGTGGAGGGAGCGTGTGTGTGTGTGTGTGTGTGTGTGTGTGTGTGTGTGTGTGTGTGATAGAAGTGGCGATTCCCCTGGGTGGCTTCTGCACACCCGTCTGTGGCAGGGCCCTGTCGCAGGTGTCTTTTCCCACGGGCTCTTCTCTCCTTGTGTGTGGCCACCTGAACCTGTAGAGGGAGGGGAGTGCACAGGTGCACGTCCAGTGCTTGGGATGTTCCTCACTGGTTTGCTGGGTATACATGGGTGTCCATGCGGTGCCTGTGAACATGTCCGGGAGGAGCATGCTGCCATGTATAGCTGTCATGGGTACATGTTTCACAGCAGGGTACCAGCATCACCATTCTGTACTGTGTGTGTGTGTGGTAGTCCCAGCACCTGCCGCCTTGTGGACACGTGTGTGTCTTTGTGGACACGGGTGTCCTTGGGTGTGTGTCACTGGTCACTCTCCGTATTGGTGACACACCAAACCACGTGCGTGCATAGCTTTGTGAGAGCTGTCCCCGCGGTGTTTGTACTACTGATGTGGCCCCCGTGTGATTCCATGTGATTCATGAGGGAGGGAGAGGCCATGTCAGGATTTCGTCAGTCTGTGCGCATCTGTCCCTCTCTGGTTCAGGGCGTGCCTCCCTCTCCTTCCAGCCCCCTCATTCCTTTGGAAAAGCGTGGGGGGTGGGAGCGGGAGCGGGGCTGGAGTGGGCGGGACATCTGCAATGGCTTCTAGCCAGAGGAGAGCCCTTGGGGTGGGGGGAGTCCCAGGCCCCCTGCCCCTCCTCATCCCTCCATCTAGATTCCAGGCTCCTGGGTCCCAACTCCCCCATCCCCCTCGGCCGGCCAGCGCGCGGGAAGGGGGTTCCAGCCGGAAGTGCCCCAGGAGGGGGGCGCTGTGACTCATGCGGAGCAGGAATGTTGTGGTTG